ATCTTTCTCCATGGTTGTAATTACACTCGAAAAGAACAGAAGCTCTCGCTGTACGTTCGCTTTTTTTTTTCTTACTATTACGTTAATTCTAACCGTGGAAAATTTCTCTTTTCGCTTCTAAATCATTTTCACGTGTCTCTGTCGTGCAATTATTTATTTTGATTTCAATTGCATTTATTTTGTAGAAATTTTATTTTCATCGTTTTCCAAACTGATTTAGATCCGAGGAAATATATTTAATCGTGGAATTTTTTGTTATCTTAAGAAATTGTAAAAGCGAGTGTTTAGATTGTAACTTAGGATTGCAGAGTGGAACTATAGTGCAGTACAAATGTTACTAAAATTTCGTAAAAACTTTCGAATTCGTATAAGAAAAGCTTATTAATTTATTCTTAATTAAATGCAGTTTCTCTCTGTATTCTTTATCCGCTGTTACACTTGCACAATTTTAATTTGTGTGCTATAAAACTTATTTAAAAAAAAAAATGCTTAAATCATATCAAATTGATTTACACAGGATAATTATACCGACTTCGTACTTATCACTCTTAATTCAAGATAACAAACCACAGGAAACACCTAATTAAAAATTTCCAGTAAATCTGTTACAGGAACAATAACTCAGAAACGTCTACCAGCAATTTAACCCCTTGCCCTGTAACAATGAGTCAGACTCGTGGTACAGATTCAGGTGAAGGTATGACAGAAACAGTTATAAATTTTCTTTCTAAATTTAGTTTTAATTTATAAGACTGGGAATTATGAAATTGCAGAGAAATTTCTTACTTCACGCGGTGATAAATTTATAAATACCTTACGTTTGCACGCGTAGTCATAAAGGGGTTAATTCTTCGTTAACCCTTTGCGGTCCAAATCATTTGATCACTCTCGGGCAGTACCACGTAGTTTCTACTAATACTAAATACTAAGTTTGAGTATAATACTAATTGTCATTTATAAATTATAATTTATCATATGGAGTCTGACTCGACATAGGACCGCAAAGGGTTAAGCGAATATTTCTCCAACAAATGAACAAACGCTACTGGCGTGTTGTCAGTCATTCCCGTGAAACAGCAATCAACACCGGGTCACGAAAACTTGCAGCAACCTATCGACGATTTCCAGCGATGACGATAAATTCCGGCAAAGTAGGAGGCAGGTTCTGTAACTATGGTCTGCAATGTTGAAACCTGCGGGGCACATTTTGCGTGACTTGCTTAGACGATAACGAACATCGTTCAAGCCTTTTCCCGTATCACCGGTCGATACAGTTTTACCTCGGCTAACGAGCCGGCAATGCCTTCACGTACGTAACAGCCGATCGTTTCGTGATAATCGTTCGTCATTGTCGAAATTACCGGCGCGATGACCAGTTAAACGTTTAGGACCAGAGGTATGCGGAAGGAAGGAAGTTGAAATAGTTTGGACGATCGTAGCTTTCCATTGGATGCAAAAGTCACTGACTCTATGCACGGCTGGATATTACGCAAGGAATATACGCGATTATGCAACCTACGAATCTTCATATAACGTTACACCTGTGCCACGAACGTGATGGCGGTAACCTCGATGCACATAGAAGAAGGTCAATGCGCGTGAAGTAATGCTCACCTCGAAACAGAAGTACATCATGACATGATTATTTGGCACATTGCCAGCTTCGTTGCTTTTGTCATTTATCCTGTAATCCTTAACACCGTGTTCATACTAATTCGTCCCTTTACAGGTGGGTGTACGAGGAATTTTATTCGACCTAGGTAACGTTTTGTTTTAGTCGGTTTTGAGGGGAATGGAGGTTTCGAAAGGATTCTGTAGTCAATTAGAAATTTTCTCATGGTGTGGTTCTGTGTGTTGCGAAATTCTGGAAATTGGTGGAATTGAAGGAGAAATAACGATTCAATTGGAACGTTTTTTTTTTTTTAAGCGGAGTTTGTTGTAGATTTGTGAAAGTTTGGTCGTTATTTAAGTAGTAAGTCTGAAACAGAAATAGAATTTGTGTGAAAGTAATTCTAAAATTTTGAAAATTCGGTTTGTTCTGAGGAAAAAATTGAACAGTGAATATTTGCCAAAGTTAGAAATAAAGAATTAATTACCAACATTTCTAATCATGATTGTAAACATAACGTCGTGTAATGCTGTTTTTAAAAATATCGTTAATGTAAATTACAGCATGCGATGTATTTTTCACTGATTAAAATTTAATAGGAAAATTTATAAACTGGATATTAAATTGTTGTAATTATTATTCGGTTTGAAAGGGATTTAACAAGTTTGATATATAAATTATCCAATAGAAGATATGATTATATTTTTTCTTTTATAGTTCTGAAGATATATCTTCAAGAAATTTTTTTAAATCAATTCTCTTCGTGTAATATTGTTACCACGAATTCTCTCTAACTAAAAATACTATCAGTGCTCATGCAAGACCAACAAACTTGTTTGGTGAAATTCAAATTACGTCCAAAAATTGCGCCAGACAATGCGTAACAAGTTAAACACATGTTACAACAACGTTCGCTAAACCAAAAATAAATATTCATGCTCTCGAAAGAAAAAACACAATAGGATCATAATTTTCTTCGAAATCCTTTGAATGGGGGCGCTCATTCGCCGAGTTAAACTCCGTGAATTACCGCATATGCATATTTCTTGGGCTGTTGAGAGGATAACCGGTGTTGGGACATCAAAAGGAAATGTCGTTGTACCGTAGAAAAGTCTTAAATTGCAACAAGAGGACGCGTCTGGGAACGTAAGAATTTCGGTGGAGATCGGACAGATAAAATAGAAATTCGTGCCGCTTTTGAGCTTGTTCGTTGTGTGAGAAAGTGACTGCAAATTCTATTCTTTCGTTCCCCGTGAATTTCGTCATTTTACAATCGAGAAAAGACAGAGTTAACGCGAAGAAGCCTGCTTCGCAGACGTGCAAGTCTGGTTGTCATTGTTGCAGGCGATGAGTGCAGTTGCATTCACTAATGATCCGATGGTAACGTAACGATGCAAAAGCGTGCAGCGTGCATATTTTATATTTTTATCGAGTTAAACGATTAACGCACAGTAAATAGATTTTTTTATTTAACTCTCGAAGGGAGAAGAGAAATTTAATTTCGAAAACTCTTTTCCTTCAAATATACACATTTCAATTTTATTACGAAAGAATCGTTTTCTAAAGTTTGATTTCACCACTCTAATATTTTTCTAAAAGAAATTTTACGTTTTAGCATAAAAGTGTTTCTCTGGGTATTAACGTGAGAACTTTTAAAAATCAGATAACGCAAATTTAAAAAATTAAATCTGCGAACTATATGCACACTGCAGTTTCCTATATTTATTGGCTGTCACAATTTAAACATTAACCCTTTCTTGACCAGTGAGATAATTGAGTACTTGAATAAAACTTTATCTCAATTTAGTATGCACTGCAGAAAAGAAGAAATTCTTAAAAAAAATTTCGAAAGGGTTAACCTCTTGAACTTAGATGAAATTGATTTATAGCACTTTCACACTCGTTCTCGTGCAATTACCACCGAACAAGTAGTATTACTAGACTGGTTGTTGTTTTCCAATCTGACGTTGCATTACCATTGTTACATATACATAGTTGAAGTAAACCGAACGTCCTTTATGTTGAACGAACGTGAAGGTCGGTAAAGAAATTTCGTAATTGAAATTCCAGTGGACAAGAGTTCCGGTACAACTTGATACAGTTCAAGCCAGTTGGTTCGCCTTCTGTTATTTTTATCACACAAGGAATTATTTGAAAGGCCGTTTGTTACGAACTGGTTACGTGAACTGGTCGAAAAACGGGAACAATTAGAAAGTTGAAGGATATAATTTCTGATCTCGTGTGTAGGTTGGAAATGTCTATTAAGATTTATTTCGCCTTTATTATTATCGTTATTATTAACAAAAATTAAAACGAAAGATTTACCTGCAACTTGTGTAAACTAAATAATGAGAGAGAGAGAGATTCGTGGGTGAAGAATACTTTGAATTTTCATTTGACAAGGTTATATCAGTGTTACGATTATGAGAGGTGTTTGTTCGTGTTGGTCTCGCCTAATTTATTCCAATCTAATTTACCTTACGATAATCTAATTACAAATATAGTAAGCGTGCTGAATTTATTGTGCAGTCCCGCGAGACGCGAACTCGAAGACGCAGCTTGACAAAGCGAGGTTCCCTGTTGAATTCGAAGAAAATTGTTACTTGCGACGTGTGCAAGCTGCGTTCTCTGCGATTAAAAAACCAGCACGGACGCCTACCGTGGAATGTGAATTTTTTTATTTACAATATTTTTACAAACCTTCTCACCACGGTATTAACGGTTTCGACACGTTTTTCACAACCGTGGAATGGAAATGAAAGAACTTCCTTAACTTATCCGAACGACAGAACCATGATGATCCTAGATGTAATCGAATTTTCAAGAAGAAACCAAAAACATTTTCATTTATATAAATTTATTTACTTATAATTACTCGAGATAATCCACCGAAGAAAGAAGAAATGGAAGAAAAACTGTTCTCGTCATTTCCACACCACGTTCCATCAAATATGTTCACCACGTTTGATTCCAATGGCAAGAATGAACTCGTACTCTTATCGAAGAAGCAAAAGTACGACGCGGTAGGCAGCCATGACAGTGACTTGCTTATTACCGAAGAAAACATCGAGGACCTTCACCTTACTCATCTACCTTATTCAAATTAAAATAAACAGTACGCAAGAACGAAATAGTAAAAATGAAAAAGTTAATTCAACATCCATCGAATCGATCGAATTTCTCGGCAAACACAGTCCCCACCATGTTTTCCTCGGTGATAACTGATACGCGCGACCTTCGAATCACAGTGCCGCCCATCGTGAATCGATGAACCGCGCCGCGATCACGGCGATACCTAGTAACGCCGTTCGAGGCATCGCGTCTTCAGACAGTACGGACAAACCAAAACGCACGGGGACCACCCTGATAAATACGGGAGGGACTAGAGGACCTAGTAGTAACCGAAACTGATGTCGTGCAACGGCGGTGCAACACCCTGCGGCAGAGCGTAATCCCTAGCCAGCTGATCGAGTATACCGCCGCTTTGGCTGCGCGGTTGCGGTTGGGAACGATGTTCCTGAACGGGAGCAGGACCAAACTGGGCTGGTCCCTGATTGTACAGTTGGGACGGTGGTACCGGTTCCTCGTTCTGCTGAAGAATCGCGGTCTGTTTGGACAGGGCAGATTGGGGTGGTGCAGCCGCGGCAGGCGTGAAAATTTGCGGTTTAGGGACGCTTTGGTGTTGCCTGGGTGGTAATTGCGGCGAGTAAACCGCCTGAGTGTGAGATTGGGGTTGTTGGTAGGCCGACTGGTCGTACGGGATTTGTTGCGGTAGGGGTGCAGGACGAGGCGCAGGCGCGACAGCTCGTAGTGGCGCAGGCCTGGCAGCCTGTTGTTGGTACTCTTCCTGGTAGTTCTGTGCTTGTAAAGCTTCCTTGCTGGTGGTCTCGTCTATCAGAGTGGGTGGCGCGACGGTGATACCCTCGCCGGCCGGTTGGAAACCGTATTGATTCGCTCCGTACTCGACGACACGTACTTTACCGGTGTCGTCCACGAAACCGTATTTACCCTTCACCTCGCCAGTCGGTAGTTTCGTTTCGATCTTGAACGAGCCGTCCGCGCCCTCGAATCCGTACGTGTACGAGCCGTCCTCGTTGTGCCTGTTTATCTGCTTCAAGATGGCCACCGGGGTTGGTTTGGGAGTGGTTGGACCGGCCGATTGTCGATTCGGTGCTGACTCGGAGGCGTAACTTCGCGGTGTCGGATGAGCTGGTCTAGGAGACTCATAACCCGAGTACTCGTCGACGTAGTTTCCACCTGGTTGCTGGTATTGCTGTGCCGATACTGCCAGTATGGCAGCTACCAATAATAGTACCTGGAAGAAGGAAAGAACGGTGTTTGCTGAGGGTGTAATTTTCAACGAGCGTCGAATGATTTTATTTAGAACGATAGATGTACCGCGGCTGAATGTGTATATTACATTTTTTATCAATTTGTCTCAGCACACTTTTTTTTTTTGTAGCTTACTGATGGAACATGAGAAAATCTCTCCTTTCTAATCGATTACGAGAGTATCTCTCGTAAGCTGCGCGTAAGGATTACAACTGCAATTATCAAACGCCCATTATTTCCGCCGGTTACGCTCTGCTCGCAGAATCGTAACGATTGCTTCTCGTTTTCCAGAGAATCAGTCTATTCTTACTCGTTGTAATTAATCATGCGGATATTTTTAACTAGCCTACCTCGACGTGTATTTCTTACGTGAAAAATTCACGAGCTACTTCGGTGAATAATTATCCATATAGAATTACGAACTTGTTTTATCGAAATAGATAAACTATATGTTGAGATGCAATGGTTTGTTTGTAGAATGTAGGGGGAATGTAGAATTTCTTTGGAATGTAAATAATTATCGTTCTCTGAAGAACATTTTGCAACAGAAACGTTCTTCTTTTTTCTCTATCTTTGGTGCAATCGAAATTTTGCGTAATTTATCGGCGAACAATGGAGAAAAGGTCCAGTGGCTACAAGGCTGGAGGTGCAAATTTAATCGTCATGCGGTCAACAACATCACGCGAAGCGTTATGGAGTTGTTTATCCGAGACTTGATAAAACGTAATTGCTGGCAGAAAGGTCCGAGCGCGGTGATGCATGACCCTCTGAGTTACCAGAACCTTAACCGCCAGACGTGACTTTATTACACCACCGTCGCGTAGATAACCGCACTCGAAGGATACCGGATTCTTAACGGCGATATACGGTAAAAGTCTCGGACGGCTAGTTCGATCGGCGACAAATTCTCGTACCTCGCCAGGCGAAACTGGAATATTCGTGTCCCCCTCAGGAACGCGAATACACCGATCGGTAAATTGACCCTCGGTAAATTGCACGCGTTCGAAAATTGTCGAGTTTTACTGCCTTCCATCTGTGCACCGTACTTCCTGCAGTTCCGCCCGAATGACCACGAACGAGAAACGCGCTTAACTATCGCCCCGCATTATGCCCCGACATAATTCTCGAGCGTATTCCTGCTCTCGGTGTAACTCGTTATGTAATTCAGTTTCTTCGTAGGCGGCGAAGAAAATCAACCGAGTGCGCACTTTCGTCATTTTTTCTTTCTTTTCGGTTAACTTTGGAAAGTAACTATCTACGGCGCGATAAAACAGCCGGAGGATGTTGAATACGCGGTTCGATAACGCAACCATATGCACCGTTTCCATGGTGTTGCGCAATCGTAGACATAATTGTGATTCAGTTGCGATATTTTTTACGGTCGGATAATAATCTTCGTGGAAACAAAATTAGCGGGAATTTTGCGTTCACGGGTCGATGTGAAATTTCTCCGCGTTTTCAAACGTCGATCACATATTACGAAGTCCTCGATTGGAATAGCAATTGATTTTCGCTTCCGAACTCACGAACTCTACAAACTATCCTCTCTATCTAATACAATCTCATCCAGAAGATCGCCGAATCGTTCTGTCCGTTCTAACGAGTCAAGGTCTTACGAGATCCAAGTTACGGTGCACCAGTAATGCACAAATCACAAGCACAGTTCCGTCACGATGAGAAACGATCACATCACACGCGAGACTTGCCAGCCGTTCCACGCTAAAAACTCAACGATCAATCATCGTGGCTGACAAACAAAGCCAACGACGATCCACCGACGACGTAGCGATGATTTACGACGATAGCGTGTGCGACGACGCGCGGATTCCCGATGAAAATTTCGTACACGAAGGGCTTGACAATTTTAGAGAAGAACGACGACGTAGATGATGATGGCGCACTGACGAATACGTACCGTCGCGACGGTGTGCATTGTGTTCCAGGTGGTTGGTGTGTTAGTGTGTGTGAATGTAAGTAGGCAGCGAGGCTAGAGTACCAGCGGTTGCTCGAACTGAGGCCCTCATATACCTTACTGGGGTCCCCCGTTCCTACCCCCCTCTTGCCCTCTACACTCCTGTTAGCTCTGGGGGACTTTCACTATCTATCCGACTCCTGTATATACGGCCGCCTTGTCTCGTTACAGCACCTTATATCCCCTAAATATTCCCCACCAAACTGGCCCGGTTTCTCGGGAATCTGGAAAATCGATCGGCAACTGCTGGACCACGCGACACTTCCACGTTATACGACGCATTCCCGTGTGTCGCGCGGTCATTTTTCTCAGCTCGCGGGAGGAGACTTTGAAATTGCCGGAGATTTTTCTCGATCGTTTGATAAGGAAAGTAAAACGCGCGCGGAGGCGTAATTGTTTCGTTGCGAAACAAGTTTCTCGGAGATCTTTTTTTTTTGTTGATTCAGCGTTCATTATATAAATCGATTAAGTCGACGATGGCGGGTATGGTAGATAAATAGAGGAGAGGATCGTTTAGGCGTGGAGTTTTCGATCGAGAGAGTGGATCCAATTTGTCCCAGTGTCCTCTTATATTACCGTTGCAGTAACTTGTATACGGCACACGTTGCTCGGCAGGTTGTTCTGGTTTCTCGAGACTCTTGAAAATCATTCTTAAGTTCCCGATTCGACTTACCAATCTAGCGCTGATCAATTTTTATTGTCTGTCTAAAACCTTTCACTGTATGCTTGATCCTTGCACGTTCGGTCACCATATGTGTTTCATTACGGCTGGTATCAGTTTATCCGTTTCGAGTTTAGTCTCTCTGGACTAGATGGATTTAAAGTGTTCGTCGATCGTTTGGATTTTCAGTTAAGTTGTCGGAATTTTCGAAATTTGCACAGCAAATCTGAGTATCGTATTGTGGTGTAATTACGAAACTCGTTGATCTTTTTCTTCGTTCAGATCGATCTTAAGGTAAAAGCGTTGAAATTGATAAGTACGAGATTATGATATTTCATTATATAAGCTTGCATGTTGTATTGCTACACTTTTTAGAGTTAATGCAATACTTGGTGTTTGAATATAAAAACCGAGCGAATTGGGAAAGGCAGGAATTCAGGTATTCTGGTAAAATAATGCTCTTGCATAGGGTATGAATAAATAATCAATTTTGAAAACAATGTTTCAAATGTTTCGTTACAAATCGTTTGAGTTATTGCATACTGATCAATCGCGCACGTACAATTTCAAAGAAAACGTCAACTTGGAATAAATATACATCGTAACGGAGTTGTCTCTTAAGTGATTAGCATGTAAAAACTTAATTTACATTTTCAGCAAAATTGTACATTTTAAAAAAAATTTAAACGTTCTCTGAATTAAGGACACTTTCGCCTTAAATTAATAAATTTTCCATACTAATAGGAGCGTTTATTGGTTATAATTTTTTCTGCATAATTATACCAATTTATTTGATCATATTTTCCGAGTATCCTGTATAAATCTAAATTAAAAGTTTTCAATTATTTTTCTTACGTTGTACCGACAATAATACAAGGAACTCGATGAAGAATAAAACTTCACATGCGAAGTTGTTCAGCTGCGAGTTCCTAAGGTGAAATTATTATGTAAAAGCAACGATGTAGATATCGGGGTCACGCTACAGAAATTATACATGTACGCGTTGAATGAAATAATTTAACGAATGCACTTTTACCACGAATACTTGCCTCGAAATTTATTCCGTATTTCCACCGTTCTCGATTTATCCGCAGAGTGGAAAATAATCCGGCACGGATTGTCTGAAATTTCCGCTTAAGAATTCGCCCCGCGCGATGCAGGACCACTAACTCAACGAGACCTGCAATTCCGGTTACACTTACACCGTGATATCAGTTTGTACAAAAGTGAAGCCGGAAGATAGAAAAAGGAAAATGAGACGAAATGTATGAAAACTTTCTTCGTTAAATTTTGCAGGCAATTTATACGATTTAAGAAACTTGGAATAATACTTCAAATTATTGTCCATGATTTGCATAAATTTGATACTTCGTACTTAAATTTTTTGCGAAAAATTACGAGTGCGTTGGAATTATATTTAAAAAATTCGTAGTTGTGATATATGTTCTTGAAGATTTTATCAGTATTTTTAAAAAATTTTTCATTATTTCTCTAATTAATCTTGCATTATTTATTCCTATTTTAAAGTTTCAAATTGAAGTAACGAATACGTTATTTCGCCACATGCAACAGATAAGCAAATGAAAGTTTTCGAATATTTGAGATATGAAGTAGGTATATAAATGAATAGAAATTTAAACTGGTATCGTAGAACGAATTACTGAAATTTCTGTTGATTAAAAGTTGAACAGATAAACGCATTTCCCCTTGCTTTGTATTAACGTACAATTTGTTGTAAGTAGTAATTATTTGTCCTTCAGCTTTGAATGGGTGAAAACATTTTAAAGTTCAAATGTCAACCACTACCGTTAGCAACACTGCTGTCTGCACTATAGTTACCTTACAGTTAACTGATAACGATCCTTTTTACGGAGGAACCTTGCACTTAACCAATGGATGTCTCTAGAAACGAACGAGTATAGTTAAATACGAAATTCGTTGTATTTTTAATTTTATAGAAACGTTGAAATATTTTTATTTCAAGTACGTGACCTGTTAATTCGATTTCTCTGGTAAATTATCGTAGAAATAATTTTTATTAAAATTGTGTTGAAAGGAAATTATTAGAAAATTTTGCTTTCTAAGGCATTTTCAAAGGGTTATTCTCCAAATAATTTTTGGTAAAATTATATTCTTAGAGAGGATTTTTATGGAAATTTTATTGAAAGGAAATTATTAGTAAATTTTTCTTTTATTGACATTTTCGAAGGGTTATTCGTAAAATAATCTTTTATCGAGGCTTATTATTCAATATTGTTTGTTTAACAAATAGTAGTGTTTATTTCATAACTATTACGAATAACATGCTCGTTTAATATTTTTATCAGAATATTTTCTACGTAATCGGTAAGATAATTATGACATCGTAAAGACTGAAAACGGTGAAGAAAGTGTGCCTGACCATAGACTAGCCATGCGTTTATGGAGTAGAATGAGACAGAACAAACCAGCCAGCACGCGCTTGATCTCTAATTATAGCACTATCTGCAGCATTACTTTCGATCATGTAAGAATAATTGTGCTAATTAAGTAACCTTTATGTAATTAATTTAACCGTTAAAATGGTTGCCTGTCAAAGGCTTGTGCGTTACGCCTTCTGGAATAATAATTGAAAACCCATACTTCTAATCGTAAATATCACCGAGTAACAAATTCAATAAGAATGTTTTTCGAAAATTCTTTACCATCACATGTTGGACATAAAAATTACACAATTTTCAATTATATCTTTTTTATTTCGTAAATAATCACGACAATATGAGAACTCCCAAATTTTCTTAGGGGCGTGTTTTCACCCTTAGGGAAAAATTGAATTACATTTCTGCAAAGTTTCAAATTTTTTTAGAATTTTTGGGTTACCAAACTTTTCCCGTAGATACATCATGCTTGTTACGTTATATACATTTCACTCGTGTGCTGCAATATTTAAATTACAATATAATACGAAATAGAGTAAATCTAACCTACCGACAGAAAATGCAAAAGAAAAGTCGAAATAAAATTACCTAAAAAAATTGTATATGTGATTATTATAATAACAGCAGTAAACATTGGAATACTGAAAATTTATTTAACGTTCGATAAATTTGACTAAAAATTTAAAAGAGAATTACATTAAAATTTAATCTGCCAATCCAATTCTAAAACGTCTTACAGCTTGCATAGTTCACAAAACATTCCCCACACATTCGTCGAGACTTTCAAATTTACCCAAAAATATGCTATTCCAAAGTGTCCCATTTAACTCTTAATTTCTCGAATTATTTCGCTACTTCGAGTGAAAATCTACGCGGTGTGTAAAGCGGAAAGGGAAAAAGGAGAGCATCGACTCTATTGCTTGTCACCTTGAAACTGACCGAAGGTAAGGCTGAATCGGGATTCGGTAAAACAGAGCTCGGCCTTTGAAAACGCGCTTGGACGTTTTCACTTGACTTTTGCGAAATACGCAACCGCCTGACTTGGTTTCTGCTGTAAAATTAGCGGTCGATCGACGTTTTGTAACTTTCTATTGGCACCGTTGCTTGTTAGATTCACGGCTGATCGATATATTTCGCATACGCTTCCAATCGCTTCCGTAATTTCCCTCGAACGTGTAATTTTCAGCAATTAAATTCGCCAAGCGTTTATGCACTCCCGTTCCAATTCCTTCGTTTATCGCGGTAGAAAGCCGTATAGAATCTTCGTTTGTAATGTATTCACGTTACCGGTTAGAACTCTGGCTGATTTGAATAATGAAAAGTGAATTCGTACAATGCACAGTCGGTGCGTGAGATTGGTAACGCTTTTTTGCACTTGTGCATACACGTTTTAAATTCGTGTGTTAATGTAGAAGGATGTGAAAATGTTTGTTTAATCATATTTGCAAAGTTTCCTTAATACAGGAACTGTCGAATTTCACTTTTTTAATATCCGCTCGCAGTTTCGGCGGCTACGAGTTTATATAAGCTTTTAAGCAACACTTTTTACTCGCTCCGTGACGTAATCGTGCGCGTCTTATACAATAAGTGTCACAAATATTGGATTCGGCTTTGATTGGGTTTTAAAAGAAAGCCAATTTCTCTCTTTGTTATTTTGTGGCTGATAGTTTCATGTCGCAGTGGATTAACCGTTTCTGTCATCTTTTTTTTTTATCACGAGTAACAAAATGAAACGAGTATCCTAATTTACTTCTACTGCTTTAAAAGAGTAACTTGGAAAATGGTTAAAAATTCTGAATTTAAAAAATTTGAAGGAATCAATTTCCAGGTTAATAAAGCAGTCTCGCTCTGATTTTTATTAAAAGAATAGCAACGAAACATTCAGAATCACATGACAACATGACAAAGTATCCTTATCTCTCTTAAAA